TGGAATTTTATCTTTGAAACGCCACACTTTTCTTTGAAATCGCTTTATTAGTTCTCGTGCAATAAGCGTTTTTGTGAAGCTCTAAAAATTACAACTACAACATTTGAACATAGCCCCCATACCTTAAGGTAAGACGTATTCTACGTCAAAATGATAAATGAACGTGAGATACTAAATTTAATAACCCTTATTTGATGTATCGTCCTGTTTAGAACAATTAACACATTCCATAGATATTACAAGCCAAAGTTTGATTTTGAAAATTCATACACTTTGATTCAATTGCGCGGGCTAAAGATAAGTTGTAAATTAATCTTTCGTGGCCAATAACAATTGGCTGAGACCTAAGACATCATAATATTACTATTACAATACGGTCAAATGCCTCTTATTTTCCCCCATACAAAATCGACCCAGCCTAATACATATGTATATTGGAATGACATGGCATAATACCTCGTTCGAGTTGACATTACATAGCACGACATGAGGTTTTTGAAAATGACATTTTTACAGAAAATGTTGAATTTCGCAGTACTTTAATATTTCCAGTCATAATTTCATAAATTTGATGCAAAATCAATGAGAGCATTCCGTCAAATACGTTCGTTCGGGAAAACTCGGATATTTCCGTGAACTCGAATACTACGTGATTGCCTCGGTATAGATATAAACAACAAACCGACATACATATACATATATGTACATATGTATGCGGGTAGTGGAACCACATTTCCTTTAAAGAAATACTAGTCGGATTAAAAACCAGTTGGAAAAGGACATTGCTCCTCCAATAGGCATCAGAAGAGAAATATTTGGCATGCTTTATTGAACTCAGCGAAAATCGCTTAGGTGGTTAAAAACAAATATTCGATATTGTCACACAATGGGGAGGTATCTACAGTTTTATGGCCGCCTCCGGACGGCAAATGGTTGTAATGAATTTTCCATTGCCTGCTTATTAGAAAAAAAACCTATTTTTGTAGGTAATTTTAAAGGTCAAGTTAATTTTCGTTTCCTGAATTCTCCATTTCAAAGTTTTTAAAATACCGTTACACTTATTTAGCCAACTCCTCTCATTCTATAGATATCTTATTTCGTCTTCGAAAAAATATAGCTTTAATTTTTTAGCTACTACTGATAGTTAAACGTTACGAGATTTCGAAAAATTTCGACAAGATGCTGTTGAATAAGATCTTAGTTTCTTCAACTTTACATAAAGTTTGGTGGCAATTTATGTTGCATACTTACCCAAATTTAAAAATATCACCGTAGAGAGTATTATGAACGGCGCTGACTTTCCGATTAAATCGTAAAGTATGCTACCAAATGGATAACCAAGCAATACTCCCAAAGCTATGCTACCTAAAATTATGCCCATCACTTTGGAGCGACGGTCCTCTTCCGGATAGAGCTGTAATATAAAATAAAATTAGAAAATTCGTATGCAAAATAAAGGCATTGCACAGATGTACATATAAGCACAACTCAGTCGGAAAAATAGGAAAGGGGAGACCTTTTTTAACCGACTTCAAAAAACTTCATAACTTTGGACCACTTGAACCGATTTCTTTTTTTTTATATCGGAAAGGTGGTAACGCAAGGATGTTCCCATACTAATTTGGTTTAAATCCGGTCATTGGATCATGGAAATAGGTTATTTTTTTGCTAAAAAGCTGCTTGTTTGATTTTAAACCAACTTCACTAAAAGGAGAAAGGCTATCAATTCGTCGGAATATTTTAATTTATATATATTTTTATCTACATATGTTACCGCATAACTTTAGACCACGTTACCCGATTTCTATAATTCTTTTTTTTTTTTAAGGAAAGGTGTTACCTCACAGGTGGTCCCATATTAACTTGGTTTAAATCCGATCATCAGATCATTAAAAAATTAACGATAATCTCTCTTAAAAATTTTTCAATAGACACGGTACGAATTTTAAAATGGCCGGGAGTATTCAAGGGAAATTCTCTTTCTCGACACTCCCGATAAAACCGAAACTTCCAGATATTTTGAAAATCTTCCTTAAGTTTGCACTTTTTAATGTTGAGACAGAAACGAATGCCAAAGCAAAACTGAATAGCAGAAGATGTCAGCTCTTTTAATATGATGAAAGTAGAGTATAACTATAACTAGTAATATATTCTATTCTACTATCAAAAACCTCACATCCTTTCTTGCCGAACATACTGTTCAAATGTATATTAGTGTGTCTAGGAACATTTTTGTTTTTGGAAATTTTATATGCATATCCCTTGAGTATAATAATTTATACAATAAAACTATTATTGCTGTAGGATGGTAATAAATCGTGCCGATTTCAACTTTGGTTAAGAGACGGTACAGAGATCACCCTCCGTAGGACAAAATGTACTTCTCACACATGTAAAACTCGACATTCGTAAATATACATACTTTCTTAGTTTATCAAGGATATTGAAGGATATCAATCTCAAATTTCTTTTTTGAGGACATTTTTACATGACTTGGAAAAACTTTTTGTAAATATAACGTCCATCTCATAGGCGCTAGTCCCATGAGACTGTAGTTAACCTTGTTGTAGCTCCTGACTGTAATATCCAAACATTCGCTTTTGATAGGAACAATTTATTATTTCCGAATTGTGCATGCTTATGCCTGGCTTGGAGCATCTCGTCATTGAATTCCGTTAATTTTTGGTTAGAAAGGATTTGAGTTATGTTTTGTCAAATTTGGATTTGAGATAAACCAGTGTCAGTGTCACTTTTAGTTTTGACACCGAAGGTGGCTCAATGCTGAAACCGAGTTTTACAAAATAAAATTTTACAAGAGATGACTGAAATTTGTTCAAATGTACTAGCATTTCTAACTTAGAATATATATTCGAGTTTTTGCTAACGCACAAAGAGATAAAGTGCAGACTACTGACGTTTTGGCCCTTTTCGACCATAGAACCTCCAAGCAGCCCTTCTGATACTGCCTAAACATTGAGGTGGCAAGACGACGATCGGTAAGTTTGGTTTGGTTATTGGTTGTCTTAAATATGGTGTGCCCATGAACGAAAGACACAAGATCACGCCTTAAGGAAAGAAAGAAAAAAGTTATTTTCTAGCTGTTGAAATCTCGACGCCATCTTTGTTGTAAGAAGTAAACAACGAAGAGAACAAAAAAAAACGCGTAATTGTTGAACGCATGAATAATCATTTTTATTATGCAAATTCTCCTATAAATCATGTCGTTGTGTTAAATTATTCTTTACCTTATGTGTGCACACGTTGTCACAAGCGAAAATTAAGAAAATTGCAGTAAAAAGCCACCACCAAATTGTAAACAACGAACAAATGTAAACAAACGGCTTATGTCAAAATCGCCCTACTTTTTTCATAAGTGCGATTATAACGGGCCACTCTTCTGCTGTCGTGATCTTGTCTTTTTGGTTCATGTGGTGTGCCTTTCAATCTAGAAGGTCTCGTTGGCCCTACAAAAGCTCGTAAGGCTGGTCTTGTGTCTATCCGCAGTGACCTATATAGATGCGGTTCTCTGCGAGACACTGTGATTCGACTATATGGAGGCTGGTGGAAAAAGGTCATCTGACAGTTGTTAAAAACTGCGAGTTGTAGACGCTATACGACACTAATCTTCCCCATATTTTACAATTAAGGGTTTCTGTTGAAAGAGAGAGTACAAACTAAATTTCATCGAAATCGGATAACATTTAATGTTTCCAGCCACAAGAGTGGAGGCAATTATCTCATCTATACTATATTTCAGAATACCTTATTCCTAAGAAAAATTCGAGCTTTAGTAAAATTTCAGCGAAACCCGTGCATGTTAACTATTCTTTCCACCTGCCTCCAAATAGTCGAAACAGTGTGCGTCGTGAGCTTTCTAGCCAAGAAAACTGGACGTCCCGTGTTTGCTCAGCAGCACTACCGATTCGTTCTAAGTTTGTGATAGGGAGTCCCAATCCTGTACCAATTAGTATTTGTAGAGGCAGTTGCAATCCCCTGTGGGTCTTCGCTGTTGTAGAAGAGCTCGGTGTAGCTTTATTTGAAGTAGAGTTGGTTGTGTTAAGCGTTTTTTTTAAGGTGGCGGAAAAGTAGGGGCGTGTGCCTATACGGAGATCCGCTGTAATCGGGTAGGGCTGATTAGCTTCGGTATCCGGAGCACTCCGCACGCCACTGGGCTTATAGAGGGCCACGGATTCTTAGTACGCGTCACATTATACCTTGATCTAGGAAGGGATTTTCGGTAAGAGGGAACAACGTTGCTTAGATTAAACCAAAAAAAAAAACATCACTTTAGCAGTGTAGTATGAAAAGGAGACTAATTACAAAGTATGCATATCGAATTTTGAAAAAAGTCTATGTCAGTTTAAAGTACATATGTGCATATACATATGCCTACATACGTACCTGCGCCACCAGACTCATACCACACACGCCAATACAAGCCGAGCCGACACCCTGTATAGCGCGCGCAAGTAACAGCTCCATGTATGTCTCGCCCACAGAAAAAACTATAGATGAAGATGAGATACCGTTACATATATAAAACGAATAAATTTGTTCAAGAGCCAAAATTAACTTTTCCAACATTTACACATACCTAATGAAGATAAGAGCAGCAGAAATGTGCCTGCTACAATCGGCAATCGATAACCAAATTTAGTAGTCATGTTGCCGACGATTGGGTTGAATATTAACTGCACCAATGCCTTCATCGACAACAATATCCCAATGGAACTGTTTTCACTGGTCAAGCTATCATATGAATCTGCACGTCCGCCCGTAGCTTTGCCGTCAGGATTGATGTCAGTGACAGTGCGTGCTCGAGTAGTGGTGGAAGTGACGGATTTGGCGGCAATACTATCATCATTGGCAATCGCTTTAACGAACTCTTTTTGTATGGCGGCAGTGCCTGTGGAATTTCCGGTGATTGCGCTTTTCGTCATTATCCCACCACCTCCGCTGCCACCACCAGTACCTGCGTTAATGTAGCGCAATTGCTTATGCTCAGCGGGCGTAAGTATTACTTTATCATCGACATGCAGCAGCGTAAAGTTTGACTTGCTGGGTATCGGATGCTTCGTCATGATTGTTTGTATGGGTTGGTGTGCGCCATCAATATACCGATAGGCCAAATTGTGCGGTGATGTGAGGGGATTGGCTATACCGACACTGAGAGCAGCGGTTGTGACATTGTAACTGTTGAATGTCTCCAACGGAGTGTGTTGTGTCCTGTTATTTATAGTCGCTAGGTAATCGGGCAATATGGGCACTAAGTAAAGAATGTGCGTGCATATGACGGATGTTTTTTTTTTGGAGAGAGACAAGTAAAGTGAAAGTGTATGTAGAAAAAATAAATATCAAAGAATGCACTGCACACAAGTTTACAAGTTTTAAATATGTACATTAAGGGTGCGTTCTGAAATGCCAAAGCATCAGCCTGTTTTACTTCTAAACTATAACTGATGGAAATGCCTTATTTACGCATATTACATATTTCCATCAATTATAGTTTAGAAATAAATGCGTCTGATGCATTATGAACACACCCTAAACCAGTGCTCGCCAAAGTGGTGGTCCGCGGACCGGTGCCGGTCCGTAAGCCATAAGTCGCCGGTCCGCAAAGGGCGTCGCGAAATGGACAACGATTTTTTGATGTTTTATATTACTGTTTAATGAGGCTATATACAACTTGTATAATAAAAACAACTTAAATTTGTTAAACATTCATAAAAAATCGCTAATATCTGCTATCATTAAATGGTAATAGGTCATATATAGACACCCGGCTAATAAAGAAATTCATTTAAACAAATTTTAATACATATGTGAGATGATCGTAAACGAAAAATAATCAATAAAAAAAGGTACCGGTCCCCGACGTAATAGAAAAACTGCAGCCGGTCCGTCACACTCAAAAGTTTGACGAGCACTGCCCTAAACCATTAAAACAGTATACATACATATGTACCTACTGAACTGATAGCAAAATTAAATGCACATTATCCTAAAATTGGGTCGTTCATAAAGGGCACAAGTCGGCTTTATGTACTTTGTGATATCGCGTAGGGGTCTGAGGTGGGTAAAATCCTCTAAACTCAGTTGGAGGTAAGAATGAATTTCGTCTAATGGGTCGGAAATAATCTAATTCCTCAGAAAAGGATCAGAAGCGAGCAGTGACGGAAGCGCTACAGTTTCTTCCTCATTCATATCACGATGGCTTCTAAAGAATTCGTTCCCAGAAACTCCCTGTCTGGCTACATGTAAAAAATATAATTAAACAGCGCTCCGAAAGTCCTGCCATTTTAAAACAGATTTCCAAATTACTCAGGCCGATGAGAGATGATTTATTGCATTCCTCCTAGGTACATACAGTATTGGTCATATATATAGAACCTCTTTTCAAAATGATATTGTTTGCCACTTATGTTAATTTATTTATTTTTAAGAATTCTCTTACAAAACCCATATAAGCCCAAGCTTAAAACTTTGTAGAAAATTAAAAAAAAGTGCAAAAAATTTTCACCCAAATTTCAAACTTTTTTTTCTCAGAATTGTTAGTTTTTTGTTTTTAATTATACAGTTTTATATCCAATTCAATTTTAACGTGCAAATTTCAAGTGGTTAGAAATTTTCGTTGATTTTGTAGATTTTTTTCCGTATTTGCTTTTATAGAACGAATAAATTCTATTTATTTGTATATGAAAGAAAACCGCAACACCTTCGGTAAGAAAAAATTTAAAAAAGTCAACGGTAGTTTTTAGTTTTGGAGTGCAATGGGGTATAGTCGTTGCGCTGGGTATGCAGTTACAGTTGCATGGCTATACTCAATCCCGACTCTTGCGTCCTCGTTCGCGCACTCTGGGCAACGTGAGCAACCCATGTGCGAGATGCGGTAACCAATCCGAGTGGAGCCTTGGGTCACGGCAGAAAGAGAGGGAGCTTCGGTGGGGCCACTCTGACTTATTCGGTTTAAGGGCTCACTGAAGTCTGCAGCGTCTGTTCACCAGTAGGTGCGGCTGCAAGCGGGTGTCTGCTTGGAGCAAGCGGCTCGCTATATAAACGTGTATTTGGTTGCGAAACCACCCCCGTCCCAGCAATGGGTTGTGCGCTGGGCTTGGGACCCGCCACGTAAAAACCACTTCCAGTGAAGAAGCAAGGCAAAGCCTCGGATGAGACCCCCCCTTATGATGACGACCACGGCAAACGTTTAAAGGACTACGATTTGAGGGCATGCACCTGGAATGTCCGGACCCTTAATGGGGAAGGTGCCTCTGCCCGGCTGGTTGATGTCCTCGTAAGGACAAAAGCTGACATCACCGCCATCCAAGAAATGCGTTGGACGGGGCAAGGCAAACAATGTCTGGGGCCTTGCGACGTCTACTACAGCTGCCATGTAAAGGAGCGCAAATTCGGAGTTGGATTTGTGGTGGGAGAGAGACTCCGTCGCCGAGTACTGTCGTTCACCCCGGTGGACGAGCGTCTAGCCACAATCCGCATCAAAGCGAGATTCTTCAACATCTCGCTCATCTGCGCCCATGCCCCGACGGAAGAGAAGGATGAGGCATCCAAGGATCTCTTCTATGAGCGCTTGGAGCGCACGTACGAGCGCTGCCCCCGTCATGATATCAAAATCGTGCTTGGCGACTTCAATGCCAGGGTGGGCAAAGAAGGGATCTTTGGAACCACCGTCGGAAAATTCAGCCTCCACGACGAAACGTCCGACAACGGATTGAGGCTGATCGACTTCGCCGGGGCCCGAAACATGGTAGTATGCAGTACTAGGTTCAAGCATAAAAAGATCCATCAAGCTACCTGGCTGTCTCCGGATCGAAAAACGAGAAACCAAATCGATCATGTTGTGATAGACGGAAGGCACGCTTCCAGTGTTTTAGACGTACGCACACTCCGAGGCCCAAACATCGACTCGGACCACTATCTTGTTGCAGCCAAGATACGCCCCCGCCTCTGTGCAGCAAAAAATGTGCGCCCAAATATGCAAGGAAAGCTTAACGTCGAAAAGCTGCAATCACAACAGACAGCCAGCGCTTTCGCTACTCGACTCTCACACCTGCTCTCAGAGAGCACTCTTCAACAAACCGACATATGCGAGCAGTGGAACCACATTTCCCGCTCATTAAGTACCGCCGCCGAAGAAGTAGTCGGATTTCAGCGAGCCCGAAAGAACAACTGGTACGATGAGGAGTGTCAGGAAGCTGCAGAGAAAAAAGATGCCGCCTACAGGGCCACGCTGCGATCGGGCGCAACGCGCGCTATGTGGGACCGCTATAGGGATCTGAAGAGGGAAGCGAGACGTATTTGCCGCAACAAGAAGAGAGAGGCAGAAATACGTGAGTGCGAAGAGCTTGAAATGCTGGCCGACAGGAGGAATGCCCGAAAATTTTACCAGAGAGTTAGGCGACTTACGGAAGGTTTAAAGACCGGGGCGCACTCCTGTAAGAACAATAATGGCGACCTAGTAACTGATGTCCAGAGCGTACTTAAATTATGGAGGGAACACTTTTCCGCCCTACTAAATGGTAGCAGCACGGAAAGTTGTGGAGAAGAAGAACCCGAGCCCGCAGTCGATGATGACGGAGTCGACGTTCCACCGCCTGACTATGACGAGGTACGTATAGCAATAACGCGGCTGAAAAACAACAAAGCCGCTGGAGCTGACAGCCTGCCAGCTGAGCTATTCAAGTACGGCGGCGAGGAGTTGATAAGGTGCATGCATCAACTCTTGTGCAGAATATGGTCAGATGAACGCATGCCCGACGACTGGAATTTAAGTGTGCTCTGCCCAATCCACAAGAAAGGTGACCCCGCCATTCGCGCCAACTACCGCGGGATCAGCCTTCTAAGCATAGGTTACAAGGTCTTATCGAGCGTATTGTGTGAAAGACTGAAGCCCACCGTCAATGAACTGATTGGGCCTTATCAGTGTGGCTTTAGACCTGGCAAATCCACCATAGACCAGGTATTCACAATACTCCAAATCTTGGAAAAGACCCGCGAGAAAAGGATCGACACTCACCACCTATTTGTCGACTTTAAAGCCGCTTTTGACAGCACTAAAAGGAGTTGCCTATACGCCGCTATGTCTGAATTTGGCATCCCCTCAAAACTCATACGGCTGTGTAAAATGACGTTGAGCAATACCACCAGCTCCGTCAGAATTGGAAAAGACCTCTCCGAGCCGTTCGCCACAAAACGGGGTTTCAGACAGGGCGACTCCCTTTCATGTGACTTCTTTAATCTGATGTTGGAGAAGATAATAAGAGCTGCAGAACTGAACCGCTCAGGAACAATTTACTACAAGAGCGTGCAATTGCTGGCTTATGCCGATGACATCGACATCATCGGTAACAAAAACCGCGAAGTCTGTTCTGCCTTTTCCAAGTTGGATAGGGAAGCAAAGCGCATGGGTCTGGTGGTAAACGAGGACAAGACGAGGTATCTCCTGTCATCAAACAAACAGTCAGCACATTCGCGCCTTGGCACCCACGTCACTGTTGACAGTTACAATTTCGAGAAAGTAGAGAATTTCGTTTACTTGGGAACCAGCATTAACACCGATAATAATGTCAGCATTGAAATCCAACGTAGAATCACTCTTGCCAACAAGTGCTACTTTGGACTGAGTAGGCAATTCAGGAGTAAAGTCCTCTCTCGACGTACGAAAACCACGCTCTATAAGTCACTCATCATGCCCGTGCTGGTATATGGCGCAGAAGCATGGACAATGACAACATCCGATGAGGCGGCTCTTGGAGTGTTTGAGAGAAAGATTTTGCGGAAGATTTACGGGCCTTTACGCGTTGGCGACGGCGAGTACCGCAGACGATGGAACGATGAGCTGTATGAGCTTTACAACGATATGGACATAGTGCAGCGAATTAAAATACAGCGGCTCCGCTGGCTTGGTCATGTCGTTCGAATGGACACCGACGCTCCAGCTCTGAAAGTATTCAACTCGGAACCCGCTGGTGGTAGCAGAGGAAGAGGGAGGCCCCCACTGCGATGGAAAGATCAGGTGGAGAAGGACTTGGCTTCACTTGGCGTTTCCAATTGGCGTCAGTTGGCACAGAGGAGAAACGACTGGCGTGCTTTGCTGAACTCGGCCAAAATCGCTTAGGCGGTTACAGCGCTAAAAAAGAAGAAGAAGAAGTTTTTAGTTACTTGAATCTTGCACATTACCAGAACGGACTAAAAAACGGCGTCCCAAAAAAATTTTGGCACTTCTGAAAAAAAGGCTTGAAATGTAGTTGGATTTTTTTGAGCTTTCCACAAAGTTTTAAACTTGCGTTTATATGGGTTTTGTTAGAGCTTGAACTGTATTTTAATTTAATTTTTTAAATAAGCATAAGTGGCAAGCAATATAACTTTGAAATTGTGTGAAATATATATGACCGATACTGTACTATATGTATGTATGTATATACATTAGACCGATCCAGAAAAAAAAGTTCGCTACTCCGAAAAAAAATTTGGATTTAGCCGAAGATACATATTTATATTTTTCGTCATAACTTCGCAAACAAATTTGTTTTTGCCGAATGGTGGGGTCGCCTTTCTATACTTTTTGGTCTTATCAACGGCATTTACAGTCGGATCTTAACGTATGATATATGTATCGAACCATTTTTTTGTTCTAAAGCTCATTGACCTTAACTACCTCGTTCTAGGGAATACCGATCAGATCTGACTTCCTACCATCGTAATGTGAGTAAATTAAAGCTCTCCAAAAATTAATTAAATTTTTTTTAAGGAAGTATTTTGATTAAATTTAATGTTGGGTCATAACGATGAGAATCGATGGATAAATTAACAAGCAAGCATCAAATAAAAATGTGCACTAATTTGTTGTGGAGCAGAAAATAATGTTACTCATACGCCATATCGTACATGGCCTTACTAGTGCATACTCGTACTTGGCGTATGAGTACGGTGACCATAAACATGAATTGGAAATGTAGCACAATTTTTCAAAAATATACCTACACATATTTAAGTAGTATAAAAATAACAAAAAGTATAAATATTCCTAAATTTTTAATCCATTTCATTCCTTAAACATAAATCACATTTTCTTCATTGGTATTATTATTTATGAAATTATAATAAAACATAATAATTACTATTGTATACTCGTACATGGCGTATGAGTAACATTTTCCAGGTTAAAGTTTGAACTTTTTTTCATTTTCAATGCAAACTTAAAATGAAAAAATTTGGGAAAATTACCTGATCTAGAAATTTTCAAAACGTTTTCAGGTTATCGATATATACATATATACGTATGCACATATTTACAAAGAACGTGCATTAAATTTTTTTTTCTCATGCAAAATAATTTCAAATATTTCGTTTATTCAGTAAACAAGGGAGTACTTAAAAAAATCATCCAACAATTTAAAATTTTTGAATGTCTACCTGCACATTATATCNTAACCTGTTATCGATATACATATGCACATACATATATACGTATGCACATATTTACAAAGAACGTGCATTAAATTTTTTTTTCTCATGCAAAATAATTTCAAATATTTCGTTTATTCAGTAAACAAGGGAGTACTTAAAAAAATCATCCAACAATTTAAAATTTTTGAATGTCTACCTGCACATTATATCTAAAGGACCATAGGCGTGGTCACTCCGCGATTTTGACAGTTCTAAAAGTAGTGACGAATGAAGTCAATGTAAATTTTTCGGTAGTAGATATCGTTTGATGTTTAGTAAATTCGAATTCTCTTATTCTTTAAATAAGAGTAGGTGGAGTAACATATATTTTAAGTACATTCTTTAATTCTTTTGTTTTAATCTATAATAAATAATTGTACAAATTTACTCCTCGATGTTTATATCGACTCCTTTGCGCAAAATTATCGTATGTTAAATTTTTTATGAAATTCACTTTTTGATGCAACATTGTTTTAAAACCCATAACGCATCACCTGTTCCAATATTACGGCTTCAATCCCAATAGCTACCCCAAAAATTTAGTGTTAATTTTATCGCATGTGACAATAATTTTTTTCTTGTGGGCGAAATTTTCATATGGGCTAAGAAATTAGAATGTAGGGTCTCTACATCTTTCTTGCGTTTATTTACATTTCTCAATTATCTCAGCAAATCTAAATTTTGGTATTGATAGTGCTAGCTAAAGCAGAGAAAAATACACTTTCCTGTAAAATTTGGTTTTTGTAATATACGATAATTTTGCGCAAAGGGGTCGATATGAGAATTGAAGTCGGTTGTGTTTTATACTAAAACTGACTAATCGTCCTCCATTATTATTTTGGGGGCACGTTTTACACAGCGTTAGTTTTTGTGACTTTTGCACCTTTTACGTCTTCCGCACGGCTTCTTCTTTAAGTCAGATATGTATTGATTCGTCCGTTGAGCTTTGAATAGATTAACTAACTGTAAATTAGATTTAGCTTTGCATCTGGATAACCCAGCACTAAAACAGAAAAGTAACAGTGGGTTTTTAGGAATTTTGCGTTGCTGATTAAGAGTATGGAGCTTCATTTAAAAAATTTAAAATTAGGGATTCAATATGGCGGCCAAAAAAATTATAATCGACTCGATTCGCTTAAAACTTTACAATCAGGGGTTCTTAGAGTGGCTGATTAAAATCGAACGTACCTACATACATACGTGGCGTATGAGTAACATTCTCATATCGACCAAGCTCTTTAATTTGATACCTAATTTTTGAACATCGAACGAATTAGTTGCATCTAAATGCTACAAGAACACATTGCTGCAATAGGGCTGCCATAATCCTGAACCTATCGACCAGTAGCTCGTTTCTGTAACAATTCTCTACCAAAGCGAATTGAGATATGAATTCGCCGCCTTGTTCTCTACTGCTAATGACTATTAGAGAATGACGTATATTCTCTACCAGTAGAGAAATAATCGGTAGAGAAGAGTTACAGAAACTGGCTACAGGAAGCTTATACCCTATAAATACTTTGCATTATTTGAAGTATTTTCTGATATTATAAGCAATGTAGTTTTGTCGCATAATCCGTATAGCTGAATGATTGATGATGATGAAATGCTCAAATTTTGAATTTTTTAACCGACTTCCAAAAGAGGAGGAGGTTATCAGTTCGTCGGAAATTTTTTATTTTTTTTGTATGTATGTTATCGCATAACTTTGGACCACGTCAACCGATAATTCTTTTTGCATCGGAAAGGTAGTGTCTCAGAGGTGGTCCCATGCTAATATGGTTAAGATCCGATCGGTGGATCATGAGATATATGTATATATATATATTTTTTATATGAGAGTTGAAGTCGGTTTTTTTTGCTAAAAATTACTTGTTAGTTTATTTGGTTAAAATTTAATTTTGTATCTTCAGGCAAATGCCAAAAAAGTGGAAGTTCCTGAACAGGTACAGGCCTCTCGAAATGGGTTGACTTGGTCCAAAGTTATGCGGTAACATGCATAAAAAAAATTTAAAAAAAATAAATAAATATTCCGACGAATAACCTCCTCCTTTTTTGGAAGTCGGTTAAAAAGAAAGAAGGTAAACCCATTGTTCAATATGTTCGAAAAAATGTTTCATTACCGATTTTTCGACTACTAATGACAGAAAGCTCAACCGTTAAAATGTTTGCTAAAAACCAAAAGGGTGTCCGCATTGACTTTATTAAAAAACCAGGCCAATTTAAGTATAGACTAGGACACCAGGACAATTTGTTTAAATCAGGACAAATCCTGGAAAACTGCATTTCCAGTAAAAATATGAAAGTTATCAAGAAACAAACTGCATTTTTGAATTCAGCGTCAAATTAAGTAAGAAACAAATTTTATTTTACATCCGCCCACAATTCTATTTTTGACCACATTTTATATGGAAGGTAAGCTCTGTCTGGCAGTTGCATTTGGAGCGATGCGGTAACTGCCAATAATTTTTAAATAATTCAAATATTTTCTAGACAATTGATACATTCGTTATTTTAATCAACACAACTTTTCTATCCAGATTGCCTATCATTTATCCGTTACGGAATTATTTGAAGTTAAACCTAAACATTTTCCTTCCTTCCTTTTGGTAAATAAATTTTCATGGAACTTATTTGAAAGTTTTTTAGTTGATTGAAATTGGATGTAGCTATAACCCGATTATGTAACTGTAACCAAATCATGCGTTAATGGAAACATATATTAGCCCAGTCAAGTGAGCTCAATAAATAGGGGTAAGCTTACAATAATTCGTATAAAGCTTGAAATTGAAATTGAAATTTGCGAGTGTTGCAAAGACCATTATGAATGAAATATCGAAAGTCCCCCATCGATCCAACGTCTGCAAAAAAAAATATTCAAGTTCAAAGGTTACATAAATTGCTTTTTCGCATTTTTCATCCAAATTGTACGGTTTATCATAAAAAAATTATAGTTAAAAAACTAAAAACACGCTTTTATTACAACAAGAACTAAAAAGTATAAAATAATTTGTAGATATAGCAATTCCGTTTAAGAAGAATAGGAAGCTCACTAACCTGATTTAATTTAACTGTTTTAAATTAGCTAAAAATAGGATTAAAGTGATTGACCCGTAGTTATAGTCAAAATAAAGTGCACTGTAAAGTTAGTTGCAGCTTTTTGGCATAACTTTCAATGAGATATCTGTAAAAAAAAACATAATAAACAGTTTTCACAGGTAATTGCATAATCTCAAAAGTGTTGATTTTGTGAGAAAAAACTTTTGCTGAAAAATGCAAAAAATTCATTTATGTGACCTTTGATCCTGAACACATTTTTTTGCAGACGTGAGATCGATGGTATTTGCAACGCTCGTACCAATTTTCAGACTTATGCGAATTATTGCCACCTTGAATGTCTAACTTGACGGGTATATATATTTTTATATATATAATTGTACCAAGTTTTCTCTGTTTCATTTGTTATGAATACATTAATTTGATAAAAGTAGAATCAACTCAATATTCTCTTTCCATTCTCAATTAAAACAATACACTTTGATAGCATACCAATTACAGTTAACAAAACATTATCCAACAGCAACGCGAAGTAGACGATAACAGCAATAATACAACGATTTGTATTTCCGAAATTCGGTGTAGAAGAGCGTCTTTTGCCACTAGCTGCATTTAGCTCGGATGCTGTGCGCACAACACTTGAATGCATCCGATCGTCCGTAATATCGCCGGGTTTTTGTTCAGACATACCTATTATTTTAGGTACGCAACGGTTGGATGAACTTTTAATCCCCGTTTAATAAGGATACGGATAACTTGATTTGCTCTAAACGCCTACACATACACACACACAACGCGTACCGAATAATATATGTGTGTGCGTATATATTATGTATTTACACATGCACTAATTGCCAACGAACATTTTAATTGAATTTTCAGTATTATGCGTGGCAGGAGCTGCCATATGCTTGACGAATAAGCCACCGATTAGTGACCCTCAGGGCAAAATCGCAAATCACTAATTAAATTAGAACCACAGAATTTAGTTTAGCAAATTATACATTCGGAAGTATTACTGATGGTATGCAACTAAGTAAGTATGCATGTATATCCTTCTCTATACGGCACTCAACAGGTGTCACTCTTTCAGCTGATGGCGAACAATTGAAAAGCTTCGACACTTTGCCGAGTCAATTTATAGTCACAAACATGTTGCTTGTTGCTTGTTTCTTGTTGTTTACTGCTACTTACTGCTACTGCAGGCTGCCGTTCATTTTGTGCTCACTCGGGTGTGCTTTTTATGGCTTTACCCATTGACAAGTCATGTCCTGGTGGCAACAATAAATGAGCAGAGGGAGGAAAGGAGACAAAATTGCAGGGGGCTATAGAAATACAGGCACTGTATCAATCAATACAATTATGCGTGTACATATGTATGTATATATATACATAAATACGTATAGATACATACATCTGAACATTAGACTGCATCACGCCTCTGGGGCACATACATAAATAAATATATAAAGTAGGGCTTCGGATGGACATCGACGCTCCAGCTCTGAAAGTATTCAACTCGGAACCCGCTGGTGGTAGTAGAGGATAAGGGAGGCCCCCACTGCGATGGAAAGACCAGGTGGAGAAGGACGTGGCTTCACTTGGCATTCCCAATTGGCGTCAGTTCGCACGACTGGCGCGCTTTGTTGATCTCGGCTTCAGATCAACGGCATTTTATTTCGCTCCGAGCTCCACTCTTGCTCCACTCCAGCCCCAATAAAAAACTTACGGTGGTTTTTAGTGCCAAAGAAATAATAATTTAAGCAAGTTTATTAACTGAAGGTTTTTCTATTGAGCTTGAGACCGGCATCATTGAATTTTTTTTTGGAAAAACAACAATGAAAATAAATCGTTACTAAGGCTAATAACAAAAACAAAATATTGAGAATTTTTCTTTAATTAGCTAAGGAGCAAATTAATTTCTTAGCTCTTTGCTCCAGCTCCGCTGCTCCTTAGCTCCTTGCTCCTTTGCTCCCCTCCGAAGCCCTTTTGAAAATATGTATCTTTAAAAGAAAAAACTCAATGTTTCATTAAAAAGTTTAGATTTCTAAAATCTAACTAACGCCAAGTGCAGCCAAGTCCTTCTCCACTTGGTACTGCAGTGGCAGCCTCCGAGGTGAATATTTACTTTCCGAGCTAGAGCGCGTTGCCAATTTTTGAGATCTCAACCTTGACTCATCTCAGCGTAGTTAGAAACTTGAAAATTTTTGCAAACCATTCATTTACGAATGACGCCATTTTTAGACGAATCTTCAAAACTTGGTGTTTAGTCAAAACAGTATTCTAATCATACATTTTTGATTCGCTTAGAGAAACCGCTTATTTTTTTGCGCAGGCATCCTAATGTACTTATTACCTCCGCCATGTTGCCTGCCAAGCTGACAACAATAATCGCGTCACTGCGGTCTGCCACAACCTTGCTCTAGGCTGCCATATTGACCAAATTCATTGCCGATGGCAGCACTTCGGTTTTTGTTTGTATTCTCAAGTCCAATTTTTACTACCTTTGTCTTGATTTCCTTTTGAAAAATAGTGTTGCTTTGACACGCTATAGCTTATTTATTTATTTTTTGGTAACTCTGTGTTGTCTAAGCGACAGATAAGTTTCATAGCGCCTGGATGTATGTACATATGCAAGTGCATGCATGTATAGTTAAATAGCACCATATAAACCCTGTTGAGAAAACCCGATCTTGTGTAAGAAAGTCATTCTTTCATAAAATGTGACTTTTTCTTATTTATGCTGGTACTGCAGCATACAACCTTCAGCCTTTAGTTTGGGGCTTACGCCGCAGAAGATGCAGCTTATATGTATGTAAATATGTAGGGTAACATGTGGTACCAACTCAACTCACTTCAACTCACCTCACTTCGATTCACCTTAACTCACCTAACCTCACCTCATCTCAACTCAACTCACCTCATTTCAACTCACCTCAACTTTACTTAACTCCCTTTACCCTTTGTTGTAGCGGTTGAATTTCAAGCGCTGGGACAACACTATATTTTGTAAACTGTTCACGATTAAAGGATACTTCTTCAGACTTGTGTTTGAATTTTAGAATGTGAGAGATAATAAGGATTACTTTCGCAACAACTATGTATTGCGTGCAAAAAACCCTTAGGAGAAAACTGGAGTATGTAATACAATTCAACTTCAACGGATGGAAGTTGCCTTAAAACGGATCTCCTTTGTATTTGTTGTTTCTGCNTGTTGAATTTCAAGCGCTGGGACAACACTACATTTTGTAAACTGTTCACGATTAAAGGATACTTCTTCAGACTTGTGTTTGAATTTTAGAATTTGAGAGATAATAAGGATTACTTTCGCAACAACTATGTATTGCGTGCAAAAAAGCCCTTAGGAGAAAACTGGAGTATGTAATACAATTCAACTTCAACGGATGGAAGTTGCCTTAAAACGGATCTCCTTTGTATTTGTTGTTTCTGCCGATAGGATAAGCGTATGATGTATTTTGTACAGATTTTCGGTATCCCTTGTTAAATTTGGTTTGACGAAAATTTATTTCAAAATACACTTCAGAGCATCATAGTGGTGCAAAATTTTTTCTTCTGCTTCTTATGGTGGATAAAAAATTGTTTATGATTACAACTTATTGCAAGCGCCACAGTTCTATTGGATTTTCCTGCAGGATATACAACCATATGTGCATATCTTTGTACATATGTACATACATACATATGTGTGTATTAGGGATCACGGGATTTTCGGGGCATCGTACAATTCCGGGATCCCGGGATTTAGATATTAATTATCCAACAACTTAACTTGAAAAAATTGCATCAATATAATTTGAGACGCTGTTCTGCAATATACTAAATAATAAATAAATGGGTTTGGAATTAAGTTGAAAAANGTTTTCGGTATCCGTTGTTAAATTTGGTTTGACGAAAATTTATTTCAAAATACACTTCAGAGCATCAAAGTGGTGCAAAATTTGTCTACTGCTTCTTATGGTGAATAAAAAATTGTTTATGATTACAACTTATTGCAATCGCCACAGTTCTATTGGATTTTCCTGCAGGATATACAACCATATGTGCATATCTTTGTACATATGTACATACATACATATGTGTGTATTAGGAATGTTAAATTTTGTGATCCCGGGATTTTCGGGACATCGTTAATACAATGCCGGGATCCCGGGATTTAGATATTCATTATCCAACAACTTAACATGAAAAAATTGCATCAATATAGTTTGAGACGCTGTCCTGCAATATACTAAATAATAAATAAATGGGTTTGGAATTAAGTTGAAAAATATTTCACTAGTAACTTAACAAAGTTTAATTAAATTTATACGCGTTTGACAATACTTTAGCATTTACATCATAAAGTAACTTAAGGCATGTCGAAAAAAGCTATATACAAAAAAAAACCTTAAGTCCACATATGCGAAAATATTTTTCTTAGCACATGATAATCATATGGGCAAGGACTACTTTACCTTAGGTTTTTTTTTAACAAATTATAACAAAAATTTGCTCCAGATTTTTGTGAAAGGTAAATAAAAGCTAGCGTGTTATCTCAAAAATGCCTAAAAGTCTACCTATAAATGCAACAACCAATTTGCTCAAATTTCAAACTTTTTACTCAGCATTTTTGGAAAAATTTGAGGTACGCAGTTTTATAGCCCATTAATTTAAAGTACAAAATACCGTTGATTTTTGGGAATTTTTTAAACGATGCTGGGCATTTTCTTTCATATAAACAAATTGTCGAACATAATTTGAGTGGACGAAAATGCGTGGCACCGTCAGCAAAAAAAAATATAAAACGTCAACGTTACTTTTAGACACTTGAAACTTGCCCTTTATTCTCCTGTAATTTAATGGGCTATACTTGATTGAAACAGTTTGAAACAAAAAAATTTCAAAACACAGCAAGCTATCAATATACTCACGACACTCTATGCCAAATATAGTCAAACTGCGTTTTTAGTTTTAGAATTTTTTTTTGTTAGAACTTTATAATTTCAGAGATATGATAAATTCTAAAGATTATTCAAAAAATTCAGTGTAATGTAGAATAAAAATGGGTACCAAATGAAAGAGAAAATTCTGCAGGATTTAAAAAAATTAAAATTTTTTGGGTTCAAAAGGACGAACAGGCAATGAAATCGCCCTTTTAAACAATTTTATTTTTAATAAAGTTATAAGGACTATATTCGAGGGCGTTGTCGAGTTTATATTTGTCCTTAAAATATATATTTTTTTAAATAAATATTGCAAAGTTTCAAGGATAATCAAGGATACAATTTTTAAGGACATTTTCAATACCTTATTCACCAAACAATTTAATCTATTCCTTCATTACAGAGTTTTCTCCTTTATTTAATACCCATACTGTTTTTCTAAGTACATTGCACTAAATTTTTTAAACCATTGTCTGATATTATTCAATTTTATCAAAGTCGTTTTAAAAAATCCTATTGTCAGCGAGAAAAGCTACTGCATATGTATATTTGGCCCAGATTTTTTTGTGTGTCGAATTGCCTGTCGCATGGTGTTATGTGTATGTATAATTAGCTAGACATATATAAAAAAAAATTAAATAAATAATTAATAGAAATATAGCGAAAACTGGTCTACATAAGGCATTGTATTATTGCCACCCTTGCAAATTACAAATTCCGAAAATGCCGGGCAAATAACCCCGCGATTTTCGGGACTTAAAAAAGTCGGGGCCCCCCGAAATCTCGGGATTAACATCCCTAGCGTGTATGTATACAAATATTTTTTTCTTCTTGTGCACATGGAATCACAGCTGGCTGTGTGGTTTTCCTTTTATTTTCTTACTGGCAATTTTTCAGTTCATTTAATTTTAAATTCTTTACCGTCATTGAAAAATAAAGTGTGCGCGAAAATATATAAATATGTATGTATTTATATGAGTATTTCTTTGAGTATTTGAAAAAAATTTTGATTTGATAAAAATTCTCGTCTTTAGTTATTGAAATATCTGAGTTTTCGTATTTCAATACTTTTCAACACATTGCTTTTTTTGCACTAAGGCAATATAACTGCACTGAATGTGGTAAAAATTGATAATTCGGTTACCGAGATACACACACATACGTACATATGGGTGTTTCCACGATGTTGGACATGACATTCGTATGACTTTAGAATTAAATTAATCATACGAGAACGGAACTCACTACAATATTTTCCTGTAGTGTAGCTTTATACCGTCCCTTGATTTCACAAAAAAAGTACGCTGTTGTTCGGAAAACAGTGAGGTTTTCCTTTCTTAAACATTCTTTAAATACAGTCAAATTACGAGCCATTACACCAAATTCATATTTAATCATAAGCAATTCGTTCTGGTTTTATTTTGAATTAAAATGTGATACTGGATGTGACATATCGGACATGACAGATTTTTTTCGTATTTCTGTAAATTGCCGTTAAATGAGAAGTGGGAAAATTTCAACGGATTTCTTTGTCAGACTATAAGCAATGTTCGTACCGAGTTTGGTGGGAATTGGTAAAGCGTCTACTAATATACAGGATTTCCTCAAAAGGAGGCGATGTAACGCGCATTTTCAAAAAATTTCACTCTCCAATTTTTAGCAATTTGGATCCAGTATTTACGGAAATATCATAGCTTAGCGTTTTTCAAAAATACCGTTATATGGAGGGTGGCCGTCGTTATTGTCTAATTTAGCCCATTTCCAATACCAACCTACCTTAGGTAAAGCGCAACCTATGTATGTACCAAATTTGGTTGAGATATCGTAATTTTTGCTCGAGACATGGCTTATTCGATTTCTCTTTTCATTTTGAGCATTTTCGTGTATTAGCAAATCTCACGAAAAACGTTGTACACCTATCTTAGAAAATGCATTATCTTCAGTTTTGTGTAAAGAACAAGATTTCATCGCAAAACTGAATTTAAATTAAAACTTAAAACAGTTATACTAAAAAAAAAGTAAAAACTTATAATATTAAAAAAACTTTTTAATATACAACGCTTTTATAAATGGACTAAAAAGTAGAAAATAATATTTCTCAGTCCCATAGAATTTGTTTTGATAACTTGTGATTTTGAAATTTTAGCAAAAGTCGTTATAACCAATTTATGATATTGAAAATGAAAAGCGTGGGGCGCATGCAATACAAAGCATTATATTTAATTGACAATAGGCAAACTACATAACATGGACCTAAAATTTCTTCAGCGAAAGTACAAATTTGAGATCGATTTTAAGCGGTCGTTATTCATATATCCACATACATATGAACATATATTACCCTTCATATCAATTCAGGTGGCTATTATATGCGCCCCACGCTTTTCATTTTCAATCTCATAAATTGGTTATAACGACTTTTGCTAAAATTTCAAAATCAAAAGTTATCAAAACAAATTCTATGGGACTGAGAAATATTATTTTCTACTTTTTAGTCCATTTATAAAAGCGTTGTATATTAAAAAGTTTTTTTTATATTATTTATTTTCTACTTTTTAGTCCTGTCTGAATAAAATTTTGCAATAGATATTAAAATAATTCAACGATATTAATAGAAAGGTGCACACACATGCATTTACATATGTATGTACATACAAACGAGCACCAATTGATTTTATTTAAAGAAATGGCGTGTCGTCTATTTCCGCTGTAGCAAACGTAGTACATAGGGGACATCGAGATGTCATCTACCTCGCCCTATTCACTACAGATGTCGCCCTATGCACTATGCTTTTTTATAGGAACTTTTCAAAGCAAAGCTTTATGGTGTCGGACACGCAACATTGAAAGTTTCTGGATCCACAACATTGAAAGTTTCTGGACACACAACATTGCAAGTTGATAAAAGCGTTGTAAAAAAATTGCCACTCATGCTCATATACTCATAGTTGCGTATGTAACGTATACGCGCCGTAGCACCATAGGAAGTCATCTAACACGTTTAATTCCACGCCTTAAGGCCTGTATGCAGCTCTCAAGAAAAGCAAAAAGTCCATATAAAATGACGTACAAGAAATGGCTAAGAATTTTTCTTGCATAAAATTTTCTTGAGGCAGTACGCAGCTCTTAAGAAATTTGCTACGCCTTGTACTACGGTTTTCTAAAGTTTTTTTTATGAAAAAAGAGCACAAGGCAATCCAGGTTTGCAATAGAAATATATGCCCGTTCCATTATTTCTTGAGGAAAGAGTTAAGCAATAGGCTGTGAAGTATCAAAAATGCCAAAATTCCTTGGACACACACACACACACGATACAATGGCAATTTTTTCTTGACCGTTTTCTTGAGAGCTGCATACAGTTAGCGAGTGGCGAAGCGAAAGAACTTAATGAGGTTCAACCAAACTCGCTATAGTCTATCCGTGCTAGCTAACTTTATTGACGAATTTGTTGTTGACAATTTTGAGTGAATAATCTTCATAGTTATTAGAATATCGCAGTTTTCGTATATCTGAAATGTGCGTTATATGGGAGGTAGGCGTACGATTTTGCCCATTTTCAATACACATACCAAGTTTCGTTAACATATCACAATTTTTACTCTAGTTATCGCGTGCACAGACGGACTGACGGACAGACAGTCACCGCTTAATCGATTTTTGTTAACATTCTGATAATTTATGTATACATTTGTCTATATCTATCTCAATTCGTTTTGGCTGTTACAAACAACCGCTAGGTGAACAAAGTTTTAATAGCCCTGTGAACAAGTGCGCTTGGGTATAAAAAGGAAAAATATATATAAAATTTAAAACGAGAAAGTCTAAAATATAAAAGAAAAATCAATAAAAAAAACAATTACAACAAAGTTATAATACCCTTGTGCACAATTACGCTCGGTATAAAAACCCCGCTGCCGAAACACTAGAAGTCATGCCAGCAGGGATGAGCGTTTTTGAACGAATTATTATTCAAATAAAAAATAAAATTTTAATTATAATTTTTCTAATTTTGAATGACGAATAAATTTTTATTCTTCATTCAAGCGCTTTCGAATGATGAATACATTTTTATTCATAATTCAAGTAATTTTGAATGAAGAATTCATTTCATTCATGATTCAAGTAATACTGAATAACTCATATTTTTTAATTTATTCATTCTTTCTTGATCACAGTACCATACGTATATACCCAGTAGCGAAAATGGTCACCGGTGACATCGTCAGTAATGAGGATATAGTGACATCGTCGCACTTGCAGTGAATCCTAAACGACATATAGCTGACAATGACACTGGTGACAATGTCATGCAGGTGTACTCCTATCAAAGACTTATAACAGACAATGTCTTGCAGCGGTCACTTATGGAAAGTCTATTGCAGGACATTGTCGCTTGAATGCCATTAATGATCACTGCATGACCAAGTCATGCAGATGACATAAACGACGAAATTACCATTTATATGAAAAAGTCATGAACGACTTCCATACATTCATTTCATTTTCCTGTTAACGCCCATCCCTGCATGTCAGTGCTGTACTCACTTGGCTATTGGCTATTGTCGCTGTTGGAGTAGCGCGAGCAAAATGATACAGTGACTGAAGCAAATGACCACGTGATGATTTTTTTTTTTAATATGCAATGTTCTTCGAGCTAAAGTGTTTTGTTAAAAATACCGAGCTTTAACTATCACTCACAGTTTCAAATTTTATACAAAATTTAGGAAAATCTAACAAAATTTCAACCTTTTAATATGAATCTGTAGAGCATTTTGGGGTATGAAGTGCAAGTTTCAACCGGGTAAAAAATCGCGTTGATTTTTTAGAATATTTTTTGAGACTGGTTTTCTGTTTTTTTTTTTTATAAAAGTGCAATTTACAAAAATTTGCGTTAATTTTTTGCAATATGGTTGCTAACGGTCTCCCGCATTTTATTTCATAAGAAATTCTTGCTTATATGGAATGAGTGAAAAAATCCGTCACCAAAAAAAAATCTTTAAACTGAGTGGGTAGATTAAAATACACATATAAACGTTATCTCTGCTAGATTAAGATTAAAAATGAACTACATACTTTTCGCGCACCTGTTCTCAAAGTTATAAACGAATAAAACACCAAAATTCTCATGATTCACTAACAAAATTTCTGAGTGTTATTGATTTCAATTTCCGATAATACTAGACGTTATAACAGTAAAAACTGCTTAAGACTTATTTACCTGGTTAGTAGAAGTACAAGTGGCGTAGAAGTATGATATTGCAGTAAGCATAGCTGGTAACACAATGGAAAAACATTTAAACTTTATAAAGTGCTTCGTTACGATTTGTATACTAGCAGGTTTTGTGGGTATGTAAAATATTAATTTTTAATTTTATTTAATTTTTGTATCCTTACTATCCTTATCCATACTAATATTATAAATCCGAAAGTGAATTTGTTTGTTTGCTACGCTTTCACGCTTTAACTACTCAACCGATCATCATGAAATTTTGTACACTGCTGTCATTTAGCCCAACTTAAAATATAGGATAAATTTAATCTCGATTAGTTAAGGGGGCGTGGCACTTCCCATACAAACGGAATATTTCATACTGCATTTCTCAGGAAATATTTTTGTAGATTACTGGAACTTGGTATGGAGATATATTAAACCATTCTCTACCCATGGATGAGAGCCGCCGACTTTTAAAAAAATCAAACACAACNGTTATTTGTTTGAAAATTATATTGCAAAATGGATGTCAAGAGGCTTAAAAAAGCTGTAATTTGAATATATTTTGAAAAGGGTTGCCACCTGTTTGAAAAGACAGTATCTTATATTCGAGAAATTGGCTTGAAATTAGTATGTACCAGAATCCAAAAACCTTAAGCATACCGAAGGCACAAAGTGGTAAACCCTACATACGCATGTATATGATTTGTAACGATATATCGTTGTTTAAAGTACAAAACCGCGTATCAACAAAATGCAAAATCCGTATGTGAGGTTGCATAAGTTATTTTCTAGATAATAAAAACAATCATAATTCAAAACGGTTCTCTTTTTTATAAAGCAATCGCATTTCTGCCTAGTATATTTCAGGACGAATGGATAAGGATTGAGCCAAGAGCTTGTGTGAGCAAATCCAATTTTTGCCAGTAAATGTAAGTTACGCGGTTTTGCAGAATCACGATACGCGGTTTTGTACTTTAAACGACGATATTTAGGTATTCACCAATTTGAGCAAGTGACCTGGCACTCTGGCAAAAGAGCAGATTATTTAGCTTAAGTGACAGTCGTTTCAACAGTCGTTGCTTGAGCTAATCTCTCTTTTGCCAGAGTGCCTGGCCACTTCCAAAGGATTCCACTAAGGGCCAGACCTCACGTTTTACCGAAGACCCGTTTACATTGCCAGAACGCTGTTAAGGCTTTGGAGACCTTTTGCTCGACGTGAGTCTTCGATAAAAGTTTACTATCTAAGATTACACCTAAATACTTTACTTCAGAAGAAATTTCAATGATGAGTTTACGGTCAGGGGAAACAAGTCAATCCAACCTTCTCCTTCTAATAAATAGCACCACACTAGTTCTGGTTGGGTTAACGGACATCGAACTCCTTCCGCATGTCTCTTTCATAAAATTACACAGGCCAACAAAAATGGAAAACAATTTTGATGCGGTAAATGTTAAAACGGTTTTTGATAGACTCTCCTTTGTGCTGATTACAAATCCGCAAGTATAAACTTTCAATCAGCTCCAGATTTTGAGAAAAACGATGCCAAAGTGTTAAAAAATTGCGTTTTTTGCAATATTTTAGAAGCTTTGGCAAAGAAAAAAGGTGAAGAACCTTTTACTTAGGCCTAAATTGAAAATGTTGGCTACTATTCCTGAAAATACCATTCCTGTACCTTGACTTAACGGCCACGTAAAATTAATTGTTGCACAGGAAAGACTGATTTTGGCGAAGTTTGAGCACCTACAGCAATTAAACAAAAGGTGATAGAACCTTCCATTTAGGCTTAATTTTAGGCTTGAACTTTCGACTACAATCCCTAAAAATACCATTCCTGACCTTGATCCTAAGGTTACGTATAGTTATTTAGCCCAATTTTCCAGTATGTTTTTTTATTGTTCAATAAATGACTATAAGTGACCATTAGCTCAAGGTACAGGGATGGTATTTACAGGGACAGTAGTCGAGAGTTCTAGCTTTAATTTAAGCCTAAGTGGAAGGTTCTACCTTCTTCTTCTTTATTGGCGCTGTAACCGCCTAAGCGATTTTGGCCGAGTCCAAAACAGCACGCCAGTCATTTCTCTTCTGTGCTAACTGACGCCAATTGGAAATGCCAAGTGAAGCCAAGTCCTTCTCCACCTGGTCTTTCCAACGCATAGGAGGCCTTCCTCTTCCTCTATTACCAGCATCGCGGCCCGCGTTGAATACTTTCAGAGCAGGAGCGTTTCTGAACATTCGAACGACATGGCCAAGCCAGCGGAGCCGCTGAATTTTAATTCGCTGCACTATGTCTATATCGTTGTAAAGCATATACATGTGCATATTGATGGTCCTCTGAAATAACGGCACAAATCATGATAAAAAAAAAAAAAAAAAAATAAAACGAACCCTTATTACCGTTAAATGTCTCATTTTTCTAATCGTTGTATAATCCATGTCTTATTCCTACTGCTCAATTAGGTAATCCTTGCTACTTACTTTATTAAGGATTAGATATGGATTCGACCAGTATTAGGGAAATGAGACACTTAACAATAGTAATGTTTTTTTTTTTGAATCGTGAGCTGTGTCGTTTTAGAGGACTATCTGTGTTAAAACAATTTTTTACTTAATTTGCTGATGGAATTTAAATTTTAACATTTCAGTGATCTCAACGCAAGAAAATACGCCATGTCAACTGAGAATGTACAAAAAAGGCTTTGTTTGCGTTTGCAATGCCACCTATTGTGACTACTTGGACGATCCAACACCAAATAATGAGAGCGAATTCGTTGTGGTATCAACGTCGAAGGTAAACTATGGCAAAATGATTATATCATCGCCCAGATGAATGAATGTCGTATGTGAAAATTGGGCCAAAATTAGTTAATAATGCAGTTATACTAAACTAATCAAGAACTTGCAAATTATGTTATATGTTTTAGATATGTATCTCCTGAAGTTTCCAAGATATTGAATAAAAGTGTATCGTTAATTTTGTAAAAAAAGTTATCACACTTTGTCGCATGCCATACAACATTCCTACAAAATTGTTGCCAATATTGTTACAATAAACGACAAAATTCTGTTAAAAAAAAACATTCATAAACTCAAAAATAATTAATGAAGAACACTAAAAACAAAATAGTTAAAGAAATTCGTAAACTAGTGTCATTTTCTTAGGAGAAAATCTATCGTTGCGCTTTTTAGAAATTGAATTCCAAACTTCAATCGCGTTATCCCAAAAGTCGTCAAATGTAACATACGACATAAGTTTTTCCAGGTGACGAAATACATATATGTACGAGGGATGTTTCCAAAGTTCTGGGAATTATGCTGTAATTAAATTACGCAGAACTTATAGGCAATGTTATTAGTGCGAGACTTGACATGTTTATGCAACTACCTAGTGCAATATTGTTCAGTCTGATTTAGGTGTTCGACTAATATAGACACGTTTTCATAGCACTGTTTTTGTAACCATGGAGGACGCAGAAAAATCTCAAAACGCAATCATTTTCTTTTTGTGGAAACAAGGTGTGAAAGTATAAGAAATTATTCAACAGACCACTGCTACAGGCGGTCTGGAAAATTGTATTAGTGTCCGTTATTGCGACAGGACAATGCAGGACCACACACCGAAGGATGTTTTGAACGATTTACGATAGGAAGTGCTTCCGCACCAACCTTATTTCCCCGGAAATCACTGAAGTAATATTTTCACTGAATGCACCGACTTTTAATATTTGTTTTTAACTATTCTTCCTAAAATTCATATATTTTTACACATTAAGAAAAGAAAACCCCTTAACTTATCGAATATTTGAAGGTTACGAAAATGCACACTTTTGCAGATACTTTTTTCCTCCTATTCTTGTTTGTTTTCAAATACTTACCATACGTCATCGCTGCCAGAATAAGCACTCTTGTATTCTATCTTTTTTCAAAAAGTTCTTTAAGAAACTATTCTTATTCATAAAAAACTTCATTTTTGGGTGTATTTTCAAATCGGTGCAGCTCACGCTTGATATTTTTCCGAAATATTTTGTTGGACGTCTTAGAATATAATAAATTTTGTAATCCCGCGGAAAAATCGCAATTTTTGTATGTATGATGTTTTTTAGGGGCAAATCTTACAATATATTTTTGACCAACTTCCCGATGACCTAGAGACTTGAGACTTCACAGTGGGCTCAGAACCCGACGTCATTGCAATACGAAATATGAGTTATTCCGATAGGTGACGCCGGAGTCGAGATATTTGAAAAACCCGTATTTATAGTCCGATTATCATATTTAGAAAGTATATTAACTACATGAAAAGGAATAACTCCACTAAAACTTTTGCCGATAGGTGGCGCACGAGTCGATATATTTGGTAAACCAGATTTTATGGTCCGATTTCGTTCATATTTAGAAAGTTTGCTTTAAAAATATTGGTTTTTACAATTAACTTTTTTGGTTAGTATCTCCCCAATAAAACGTAATCTAATACAAGAAGATACTTTGTTTTACAACTTTCTACTTTGTCTTTAATCAAACAAAAAAAAACCCTTACGATATGTCCCTTACCAGCGATGGAAGGCACCTAATACACTCTTAAAGCGTAAACAGACGGCAGCGTTGATCCGGATCAACTCGGGAATTAACTGCAGTTGATCCGGATTAAGTCCGAGTTAGTCCGGATCAACGCTGCCGTCTGTTTAAGCTTTTAAATATGTTGGTATTACGAACTGATATGTATACATAATAGTGAATTATAGTGTTAGATAATTACTAGTACGTATGTCCATATATACATGAAGATCTTTTTATATTTATAGGCTGGTCTACGCTTTGAAACTACGAGTGGTCTGATTAATGCTTCCGAAAGTTTACGCATTGCAGATTATGATGACCGCAATGATACCGCTAAACACGCGTTCTGGGATACAGTGGCATTTGAAAAAGGTAAGTAATAAAGATTACACATTCTCGGCTATTAATTTTCACCAAATAAGTATGTATGTATATATTTTTTATTTATTGGTCTTATTCGAGTTAGAAATTGTATTACGACAATCATTTCTCATGTTTGAAGCATATAATAAAAATTTTAGGGCCGAATTCACAGAGCATACTTCAAACCAATAGGCAACTTAGCCGCTAACAAGAATTTAACTACCAACTTATATTTACAATTGTATAGTTGAATATGCAAATGTTAATTTCGTTCAACAAAAAAAAAATATACGAGTTTAGCTATAGCGCTATGGATATGTATAAGATTCTATCTCGGAAGTCACTAATTCGAAATGGAATTTCTAATTTCTAATTTACCTCTTATACCTTGTCGGGAAAAACTGTTCTACCAAGGCGTCACGTTTTTATGATACGAAAGTTATCTCGCACTCTTTACAGGGTCAAGGTATCCGAAAAACGACCGAAAATGTAACTGGAAACCGGATGAAATATCATTTTTTTATAAGGAATTGTTTCGGATAAGTTTCCGGGAATTTTGTTGGCTAGTTAGTCTTTTTATTTTGTAACTTAAAATATTTTAAAATTTTGACTAAGTAAAAACATGTACTTAAGGCAGTAAGAGCACTATCATTAGGTAAAGTATATCATGAAAATTCAGATTCGATTAGCATTTTTGTATTGATATTTTGCCTCTAAGTTAAATCCAATAAATTGGTGAGCGATTATATTCCTAGCATGATTGAAGGACTGCAAAATTAAAAAAAAAACTATATCGCTCCGTTCCAAAAGAGGAACAGGAAAATAACGGCAATTACTGAATACTTATTACAACCATTCATTAGTAGCTGCGATGATTTCGCAAATAAAAACAATAAAATACGTTTAAACAAACAAAAAAAGAATGCAGGATATTTAATTCAGCACGCAACCGCCTAGAAATTGTTCCGAGACCGACCATGCGATTCACAGTTTAAGAAACCACTGCTCTAGCAGAATGTTCCTTAGACGTTTGTTCTTATTTGATCCCCCCTTGAAACGTTATCGATACTTCCACTTTATTTTGTTCTCATTGGAAACGTTCCCGAAAAATTCGCTGTCATTCTGTTTTTCTTGAGGACGTTCCCTAGAATTTTGTTCGCATTTTGTTCTTTACGGAAACGTTCCCCAACCTTTTTCTATCATTTTGTTCACGTTCAAACTGCTCTCAACACTTTTGTTCCCGTTTTGGTTCTTTTGTGGGAACTAAATCAAAAATGGAACGCATTTTCGGCCCCTGGTTTATTCTTTAACAAAGACCGTAAAAATCCAAGTTTAAATGTTTCTTAAATATTTAAAAAACTCAACAAACTTTCGCACGATATTAGAGCTTTTTAGTTAGATTTTATGTATGCAATTTTGTAGCCGACTCAATTTTATTTTAATAAAGTTCAAGTTTTAAACAGGTTGGACTTGCCGTCGAGTGAAGTTTTACAGTGGCACATAATGTGCTCTGCTGTTTCCTGTTCTTCGTTACACAACTTACACTGGTCAGAACCCTATATGTCTTATATTTGACAAGTGTTTTATTACCCTACAGTAGCCAGTAAAAATGTTTGTTACATTTCTTACTTCATGCCTACTGAGGCGAAGGAGTTCTACGGTTCTCCTTATTGATATATCCAGAATGAAGGGCTTGGCCTGTCTGTTACCTTCCGGATTTGTCCAGTAATGTTGCGTCTCGTTCTTGATCCAGATATAGTAGTTTCGCGTAACGGAGCTGCATGGAAGACCGGTAAAGCGTTCTGGGCCTATGAAACTCTGTGCAACCCCGAGAATATCTGCCACTTATCCATGACTCCACTGTGTCCCGGTACCCATACGAGGTATACCCGGTTCCTGTAGGCGATCAGTATTAAAATTTGAGAACAGTCCTAGACCAGCTTTGAGGTGACCTCGTGCGCTTTAAGAGCGATGAGCGCCGCTCTGCTGTCCGATTGTATGTAGATGTGTTTCTTGGTTGCCCCACTTTCTACATACTGCCTCAGAGAGAGTTCAGTGTCGTGAACCTCGGCCTGAAAGACAGAGTTACCTTGCCCCATGCTGGTGAAAAGAAGCAGTCTGTATGCCGACGCCGTGGTCAATCTTTGAGCCGTCAAAATACCAGATGTGGCTGTCCTTCCGGGCTTTAGGTCGTTCGTTGTCCCAGTTATTTCTCTCGGAGAAAAAGACCTTGAAGTTTTCTAAGAAGTTACATCTTGGAAGGCACAGGTCTATAAAGCTTATGCACAGCTCATCTCCTTGTTTTATAATCCTGAGGGTAGAAGAGTGTATGCGCTTCTTATCCTCTACACTGTCCTCTGATATGAGCCTTGCTGTAAACAGTGGAGTCTCTTTCTTGATTACAATGTGTAGGGGAGGCAATTCAAGAAGCACCTCGAGTGCCGCAGTTGGCGTTGTTCTCATCGCGCCTGTGATGCCCACGTAGGCCAGTCGTTGTAGCTTCCCGAGTTTGACCTGCGTGGACTTCACTTCTGCTCTTGCGATGTCCATGTTTCAGTTCCCAGCATCATTCAACCATCGGCATGCTTTCAATTATCTTAGTTTTGGGAAGGCTATAACGGGTTTCGCCGAGGGAGTTCTTCTCGTCAGCTTCATGATGCCCGTTGTGTCGACCCTCCTCTTCTTTTAAACCGGGCTTGGAACCATCTATGGCAGCGTTACGGTAATTGTTAAGAAGTAAACCATATTTTTATGGACGAAAGATTGAAATTAAAAAATAATAAAATCTATAGTCAAATCTTGTCAATATGTGAGTGAGATTAAAGCTAAGATAAGCACTATGTCTACTTAACGAATATCTTTGTTTCTCCTTTCTTTTTACAGCAGCAACTAGAAGCGTAAAAATAAAAGTTGACCGTGAGAAACGTTTTCAAAATATCACCGGCTTTGGCGGCTCATTTACGGGCTCTGTAAGCTATCTTCTGGAGAACTTACCACAAGAACTGCAAGATCACTTATACAAGTATTGAAATAAATGAAAAAAATATATATTAATTTATTTACATTTACTAAATTATGAAAAATTTTATCATTAGGTCCTTCTATTCGCAAAGCGGCATTGGTTTCAATTTGATGCGCACACCAATCGGTGGTTGTGATTTTGACTTGGAGCCCTGGGCGTATAATGAGCAGCCCGAAAACGAGACCACGCTTAGCAATTTTACCAAATTAGATCCACGCGAAGAGAAACGGATTGAGCAAATTAAACACTTGAAGCTGATTTCGAATGTGGAAAATTTGCGAATTAAGGCTGCCGCTTGGAGTCCACCACGTTGGATGAAAACCAACAACGCATGGACCGGATCGAGTCGCTTGAAAAAGGAGTACTATCAGACATGGGCCGATTATCATTTGCGTTGGCTAGAATTATGGGAAGAGAATGGCTTACCACTTTGGGCTATATCTACCGGTAATGAACCAACGAATGGCGTCTATCTAATGTACTTCCTTAGATTTATGAGTTTAGGTTGGACACCAAGGAAACAGGTAAGTGAGCATTGCATTTGGAAAAATGTGGAGTAAGTACGTTTGGTGGTCGTATTTTGTTTTATTTATCACAGGCGATTTGGTTGTCTGAGAACTTTGGTCCAACAATTCGCTCTAAATACAAGGATTTGCTTATATTTGGCGTTGATGATCAGCGTCATACCTTAGCGTTTTGGATGAAATTTGTGAGTGCAGTTTTTCATGCACTTGTGTG